CCACTGCCTGGACGTGAGGAGCGAGGTGCCGCCCGCCCTGGCGCTCTGCGAGGACGGGCTGCCGGGCGCCGAGGCCGAGGCCGAGGCGCTGCTGCCGCCGGAGCCGGGCTTGCGGGGGGCGCGGGGGTACCGGGCGGAGCTGGGCAGCATCCTGCTGCTGCTGGTGCTATATGTGCTGCAGGGCATCCCGCTGGGGCTGGCGGGCAGCGTCCTCCTCATCCTGCAGAGCAAGAACGCCAGCTACACCGACCAGGCCTTCTTCAGCTTCGTCTTCTGGCCCTTCAGCCTCAAGCTGCTCTGGGCCCCCTTGGTGGACGCTGTCTACCTGCGGGGCTTCGGCCGCCGCAAGTCCTGGCTGGTGCCCACGCAGTACGTCCTGGGGGTCTTCATGATCTACATGTCTACCCAGGTGGACGTGCTGCTGGGTGACGGGGAGGGCCGGGGCCCCGACGTGGTGGCCCTCACTGTGACTTTCTTCCTCTTCGAGTTCCTGGCGGCGACGCAGGACATTGCGGTGGATGGCTGGGCCCTGACCATGTTGTCCAGGGAGAACGTGGGCTACGCCTCCACCTGCAACTCCGTGGGCCAGACGGCCGGCTACTTCCTGGGCAACGTCCTCTTCCTGGCCCTCGAGTCGGCCTCCTTCTGTAACAAGTACCTGCGGTTCCAGCCCCAGCCCCAAGGGATTGTTACCCTCTCAGGTACTGCCTGGGTGCTGCCGGCCTGTGCGTGCTGATGCTGGGATGGGTCTGCTTCTTCCCTGAGCCTTCAGAGCGAGCGGTGGTTTGGCACTGTGAAATGAGCAGGGTTGGTTTGTCCCCTGCCCATGAGCAAGCACAGCCTGCCGGGAAGCTGGTGGAGTCCACTGCTACATGCACTGAACTTCCAGGCTTCCTTGGGGTTAGGAGTGTGGGAAACCTGCCTTGTCATTATCTTGGCTGACCTAAGCATTCTGGAGACATTTTTTTTTCCCTAGTTTAATGACCATAGAATAGATTATTGTTTAAAAAAAACCAAACAAACAAACCAAAAGCTTTGCCTCTCTTTAAGGAGGCCATTTACGAACATCTCCTTCTGTGAGGAAGGAAAGAGGAAATTAAAAAAAAAAAAATAACTCTTCCAAGATGGTATTGTTCATGGAAGTAGAAATGACAAGTGTTCAGGGTTGACCACATAATCGATTTCTGAAGGAAGGCCTTATTGTAGTAAATTAAGGGGGATTTTGTTTTCTCTTTAATGAATTAAATGGAGTCTGGTAATCCAACCCTAACTAGCTGTTAGTATAGAGATGTCTTCTGTTTGGTGTGGTTTGGGTTGTTTGGGATTTTTTTCAGAAGGGTTATATGTGGTGGTTGATGTTAGGCGTATTACCTAGAAGATGCTTAAAATGCACGTTTTGGTTGCAAGGTTGAGTTTAGGCAGCTCAGCTTATGGGAGGACAGGAAAAACTGGCACCACTTCTAGTTGCAGTCTCAAAGTGACCCTGGCTAGCAATGAAGAGTAAACTTTCATGGCTTTAGTTTCTTTCCCTCTCTTACATTGATTGCTCTGCCTGTATCATGTAAGATGCCAAAAGGTACACCAAAACGGAGTTGAATTGTTGTTTAAAGGCTAGTTTTCGCTTTCTATCCTGTACCTATCTTGTTGATAAATCAGGATATCAATTTCCAAGACCGCTGTACTTATTTTGTCTACGAAGCTATCACAGTTGCTGACTAGTCTTCCTCTTTCCTTTCAGTTGATAACCCTATGTCTGGTCTATATGTCAACAAGCATAGAGTAGTCCTCAAAGTAACCCTGCTGGTTTATTGCTTTCCTTTGTTTTCCCTTGCTCTGTAGTTCATCAGTGCTGGCGTGTCTCTTCCCTCTTGCTCCAGGGGCAGTCTGACGTCTTTTACTGCTGATGCAACTTGCAAATCACTGGTGTAGTTAAGAGAGCTTGGTTTGTCTATACTTACCTCCGCTGTCCAGGTTTTTTGTTGTCTTGGTTTTTCTCAGTACAGTTTGTATAAATGGATTTGTTACTATTACAAGAGTACTGTCTTTGAGAAAAAAAAAAATTATCCCAAACCTAAAAAACACCAATGCAACCTGTTTAACTTGTCCTGGAGTACTAACCTGGAAGGAGTAAGAAAAGCAAATAGCTCTGACACTATAGTTGCAGGATATGGGTTTTTGTTTGCTAAAACCAGCTGCAAGAAATTTCTGTTCCCTTGTTCATGTGACTGTATGCCACAATTTGCTGTGTCGTGTTTCTCCTGAAGCAGCTGTAGAGCAGTACTGTAAACCTGCTCACTGGAATGAGGAGAGTGGCTCTCTGGTGCTAGTGCTGGTTGTAACAGGGCTTATGCTGAGCTGGTTCAGGCACTTAAAGCAGGAGAAAACTTTGCAGTTTGAAAAGGTGAAAAGTTTTCTGCCAGTTCAGATCTCTGAACGCTTTTGTCGTAGGCTGAGTGCTGATGCTAGGGAAAGAAGAAGTCAATGCTTCACGATCCCAAGTGAACTTCAAGTTGTTGAGAAGCAACAGCGTTAGTTGTTTGCCATGCAGTCGCATGTGTGCCTGTCCCAGAGTGAAGGAAGAGAGGTAAAGCGCGAGTGCGGGAAGAAGGTGCCCCTTCAAGGCAGCCCAGACCTACCTGGGCCAGCGACTGTGGAGCACCCTTTTTCCTGGGAAGAGATGTGTAGTTTTAGAATTACTTAAAGCTGTTGTGATGAAGCACCTGTGTCCCCCATGCACACCTCGTTGATGGTTATTTTTATCAGCCTGGTCTGTCCCTGATCTAGTTCAAAAGTTTGCTTTGCCCTGACACAATGGTTTATTTTGCTAGTATTGGTATAGAGGCAGAGACAAAATAGGGATGGGGCCAGGCAGCACTGGTGGCACCAGAAACTTTATGCTAGAAATTCCTTGGGTAAACTATAATTTTTAAGTTCTCTTGCTTGTAGCCTGTTAGTGGACTATATGGCTGCTGGCTTTGCTTTTGTGGTTTTGTTTTGTTTTTTTCCCCTAATCCAGCCATTGCTGTATTGCAGCTGACAGGGCTGACCTGATCAGGAGTATTCATGCGATGATGTTCAAAGCTATTTCTATGCCTGTCCTCGCACCGTAAGTCTCTCACTGCGGTGATAATGCTTAGTGCTATTATTAGAGTACCACTGCTGTATGTCTTTTGTAGACAATAGCTGTGATCAGCATGACTCTCTGAAAACTCATCTTTTACCTAAAAATATATGTACCTTTTTCTAACAGAGGAGAGAGCAATCTGACAGCATTGGTTATGAGATGCTCTCTCCTTTTCTTTAGAAAAGGTAAAAGTAACTGATGTGGAAGCAGCAGAAAATGGTTTGAAATGCCTTTTTTTCTTTTACGCTGAGAACGCTAGGTTATAGCTAAAGTAGTCTTTCCATGTTTTCTTCCATGCTTGTCGTGCTTGTTCTCTTCCTGTGCATAAGAAGCAGCTAGTAATTGCTTAAACCTTTGCACTGTCTTTGCCCTTTCACCAGCCCTCGCTGCTTACTTTCAAGTCACCATGAGGCTTCTGGAGTTGCTCGTGACCAGGAAGATAAAAGGCTACTTCTGTCTTACCCTCTGTGTGTTACTGAGTTCTTTCTTAACTCTTTCGTAAAGGTAGAGGACAGGATTATCTTAGATTAATCCATTCACTAACTCAAAAAGTACTTGCCATAAAATATTGGTGTGTTTTTACTATTGCTGCCTTCAAATCCACAATTTAGCAAATATTATATCTGCTTAAAATAGAGCACTTAAGAGTTAGCAAGTGTAATAGCCGCTTAGACATATTTGAGTGACTCTCTACTTGACGACTGTGTAAGAACTTTCATCAGGACATCTTTACACTCATAAGTATAAATCTTTGTTTCCTTCAGCTGGTAAGTAGATATTATATAGAGAGTATAGAACTGAGGCACAGAATAGTTACATGACTACACGGTAAATCAACTGGAGAGTTGTGAATGGCTTCTTCCTCTGAAGTTTTTTTCCCTGTCTTGTAACTATTAAATGTGTTTTTTTCCTCCTTGATCAGCTTTTGGTGGTTGTATGTGTAATCCTTCAACATTTTCCTTTCTGTTTCTGCTCTGACATGCTCATTGTGGCAGTAATACACAGAACACCAGGGAAGAGACCTGGTTTGGTGCTGCTCTTAGATCTCAAGCAAATGTGGTTATAGAGTGAGGGGCAGGGAAGAGCTATCGCATGTAGTTATGTGTTTGTGGTTTGCTTTTGTTGCTTGTTTTTAGGAGGGTCAATGAGTGATGTTTTTATTCAATTTTTGATTATTAGGTTTATATTGTTGCAAAATAACTGCATTTTAGATACTCAGTGGATTGTTAATGAAGTGTTGATGGTGGCTGCTGGAAAGATTTTTTTTTTAAATTTTAATTTTTTTTTTCCTCCAGATTTCCTGTTTTTCTGGGGAGCTGTCTTTTTAATTACTACTACACTGGTTGCCCTTTTGAAAAAGGAAAACAAGGAACTAACACCAACAAAAGAAGAAACAAAAGGCATCACTGATACATACAGGCTGCTATTCTCAATAATCAAGATGCCGGCAGTTCTTACTTTCTGTCTCTTGATTCTCACAGCAAAAGTAAGTAAATACATATATGAATTGTTAGATGCTGATGATACGAGTGTCTGAAAGGTTGCTGAGTCCCTGTGGTGTTGGTTAGTTCTTAGTTGTGCTAGGGGTTGTCATCAGAGTTCCAAACTTTCACATGAAATTTGAAACAAAGTTGCTTATATCATTCTGCTAAGTAAGGCTGTACAACGGAAAACAGTTGTTTGAGCTTTTCTAAGTGTTTACACAAGCATTAAAGAGAAGTTTGATTGCAATCTAGTATTTAAGCAATTTGTTCTTAAACGTTTTTAAACAGCTAGGCTGTTTGTGTAGTCTGCGTTTAAAAGTACCAAAAATGTTTCTTTTAATGTAAATGCTATTCCCAGAATCTGCAACTCTGTACAAACTAGGTTTCCACGGCTTCTTGTTGGCCATTGTGGATACCAACAGCAATTAAGGCACAGGCATGAACATCATTGCTGTGTTTAATGTTCTTGGTATAGTTTTGGCACTGATGGCAAGAAGAGAGTGCAAGTGTAGAACATGTTTCAAAACGGATTAGGAAATCAAATGAGATGCAAAAGTGAATTGTACTCTATCACGTTTCTCAATTTACTTAATACTGCGTAAACTGAATTTCTGGCCAAACTATCACTGCTTTCCCCAGTTTATTTTGTCTAACTTATATTGCAGGTTGGATTTTCAGCAGCAGATGCTGTAACAGGACTCAAACTGGTGGAAGAGGGCGTCCCAAAAGAGCACTTAGCTCTGCTAGCCGTTCCAATGGTTCCTTTACAGATAATATTGCCTCTGATTATCAGCAAATATACAGCAGGCCCCCAGCCACTGAACACATTTTACAAAGCTATGCCTTTTAGGTAAAAAGAAACAAATCTTGTTTGACAGAAATGTAGTGATTTGTGTATTCAGATGAAGCATAGGATTTCTTGTGTAACTCTTAAACTTCCAGATACAAGAAAGTATGTCAGAATTCTCATAGGAATTTGAACTCTCCGTCTTGTGCCTTGAAGATGATTCATGTAGTAACACACGTAAGAAAGTGGAACATGAGGTGTTTTTAAGATGCATATACAACAGCATTAGAGCAGTACTCTCCTGCTCGAGTGTCGATAGCTCCTTATTCATGAATCGCTCTCACTAGATCCAGGACTGTATCTGTAAAATTACATGTGCGTCCCAATGTAAGAGTGGCAGAACACATTGACAAGTCATTTGGTGCATCTACTGGATGTATGCTTTGCTGAGGTAACGGAGAGTAAAAGAAGCTGAATTATTTTGATATGGACAAGGAGACATTTCATTTCTGTGTTAAGTGTTTTATATAGGAGTTTGCTTATGGAATTCTAAAACCAGTGAATCCAGCAAATTACCTAATGCTGTTACTCAGTAAATCATGTAACATGCCTGTAACAGGTAGGCATTACTTTAACGTGTTCTTATGCGACTATGTATGTTTTTGCCAAAAAAAGAAAAGAGAAGGTCTTGCTCCAGTTGAATTTTGTTAGATATCATGTGCGTTGCTTTCTACAAAAAGTAAATTTCTGTGTGAAGGGGCAGGGGATAAAGCTGGTATGGGAGATCTAGTAGTGAATTATGTTAATATGGAAGACAGAATTGTTTAGGTATAAAATGTTTACCATGTCAGTGCTTGTCAAATGTTTAATATCTAATTCTATCTAAGATAGAAGTAGTTTTAACTATTTAGATATAAACTGTTTTAATATATTTTGTATTTATAAATGTTCAATAGTTGCTTTGTATCAAGGAAACACATGGGGAGAATTACTTGAATTACAAATTATCTTTCTTGTTCCTCCAGATTACTGCTTGGTCTGGAATTTGCTTTTTTGGTATGGTGGACTCCTAAAGTAAAACATGAAGGAGGATTTCCTGTCTACTACTATGTTGTAGTACTGTTGAGTTATGCTTTACATCAGGTAACATACACTGCATGTGGGAAGGGAGGGGGACAGGAGGGTATTTCGTATGAATCAACAAGAGGACTATAAATGCCATTGTTTGCTTTTGTCCTTAGTTATACTAGCATTCCTCTAAGTCTGACCTGCTGTGCTGTATGGCTATATTTACTTTTGATACTCCTGCCAATATTATTTGTCCCTCTTCAATGTGCTCCATTGAACATCTTCTACGAAGTTACGTTTAGTTGACCACATCTGCTTTCGTTGACCAGATTTTTTTCCCCAAAACCAGAAGCTCAAAAGCATGGTGGAGCTGGAGAAATCTCAGCATACTGACTGAGTTTCATAGGCATGATGATGATTGTGCACATTGTGTGGATCCATTATGTGGATCCTAGAAAAAATACTTCATTGATTTTGGAGAAACATCGTAATGGATCTGATCCAAAGGCCTGGAAAACAAATGCCTGATACAAACTGGGCTTCAGATCAGAACTAAAATGTATGCAATGCCTTGAGAGTTGATTTTAAATGCAGAAGTGTTATTTTTATCTGGCTATTTTATCTGACCTTATCATACTTATCAGTTTGATAACCTGAGTCATTCCAATGCATGGGAGGCAGGGTCCATTTCAGCATGACTTGAGACAAGCGGCAAGGCGACTTCTTGGTATTAGTAGAGAGACAGACTGCAGAAGTAATTTCATCCTTGTGCAATTTTAAGCTGTTGGGATTATTCTTCCATCAATGTTGCTAACTTCAAGTAATCTCTTAGAATAGTTTTTGTGTTAGAGTTTTTAGTTGTCATTGTCTGTATCTGGAGAGACCTTACTGTCCTGTGGGTTTTCTTACCTCTTCTATAGATCACGCTGTATAGCATGTATGTTGCAATAATGGCTTTCAACGCCAAAGTCAGCGATCCGCTGATTGGAGGGACCTACATGACGCTCCTAAACACTGTGTCGAATCTGGGAGGGAACTGGCCTTCCACCGTTGCACTCTGGCTTGTGGACCCACTAACAGTGAAAGAGTGTGCAGGGGCCCAGGAACAGACCTGTGGAACTACAGTTGCTGCAGAAGTAAGTTTTGGAGGCTGTGAAGGTCTCTCTTCAGTTATTTCTCAATGAAATTGCTTCTCTTAGTATTTTTTTGCCTTTGAAAACCTTTGTACTGCATAGCTTGTACTTAAAAATTCACACTGATTGACCTAATTTTCCTGTCTGATAAAATTAAGTCTGTTTTTATCTGTACGCTCTTAATAACTAACATTTTTACCAAAGATTTACGGTTGCAGAGTAGTTGTCCGCTTCTTTTTGGGCTGGGATGAAAAGCTGGTGGCAGAAGCACTAGATTGGTGCCACATTCTCTGCAGTGTAAGGAGTCTGTAGTTACATTTTTGAGAGTAAACCTTTCTAAGTTCGGAGTTGTGTAATTAGGTGCTCTGTCCTTGGCAGGCTGTCTGTCCCCCAAGTCCCTTAAGTTTTGTGGTAGGTTTCTGTTCCTTCTGTCTTTCTGGGGGCTTCCTATCTGGATGCCTTGATACCTTCTCCAGTGACATTACTTTGCTCTCTGTCTTTGATCATCACTTTCCACGTGAAATTGAGCGGTGTGACTGGCTGCCTTCCCAGCCAGTAGAGCCCTTTGGAAGAGAACAAAGAACATGCTGTGCTACTGTACACAGATTAAACAACAGGACACAAAACTGCCTGGAAAGCAAGGTTTCAAATTCACCTCCTCATGAGCAAATGAGAAATTTTAACATGACTCTGATTTCAAAGAGTGGAAATGTTTTGGGGTTTTTTTTTTGTTTTTTTTTCCCATACTCATGACTGAGATTTATTTCACTCTTGAATGCCAGGACTCTTTGGGATTGGAGGTTCTCTAAACAAACGAAGTGTTCTAGGAGTCAAACATGACTCATGTAAACTGGAGTTACAGTTTTTACTAGTTGCAGAGGGGAAACTGCTTCTGCAGTGTGTGCTTTTTCAGCCTGTCTCTCATTGGCTTCCCTCTAATTAGGTTCCCTGTGCCTGGGCCTCTACTGAACTTAAGTCCCTCCTCCTTCACCTCACTCCTCTGATCTTTTTTCATATCCTCCCAGCTGGTAATGTTCCACCACCACTCCCTTCTTATTCCTAATCTGATCTTGACAGGTCTCAGAATAATGCAAATGCTGGCAGAACCTCAGCTCAGAGGATTGATTTATCTTGGGATTATAGCAGTATTGAAAGCGGAACAATAGCAGAAATGATCGTGTGCTGTACACTTACCCTTTAAATGCTGGAGTTTTTGCCTTCCAGTTCTGCAATTAAAAAACATCCTGGGCATGTTTTCCCCAGAAGTATGCAGCGTTCTGTACTGTCCATTTGCAGATTCAGTGGGGCGGAATCTTTCTTCATGGGATTAAGAACAGTGGTTGCATCTCCAGGCCAGCATGAGACAGCTAGACAGTTTCTGTTTTCTAGAGTTAGCCCCTTGGGCCAATATGCTCCATTTCTCAAATGTTTTATAACAGTTTTGTTACTTCTCATACTGATGGTGAGCTTGAAAGCCTCTCTTACTAACTTCATAAGAAACAAGGAAGAGTAAACAAATACATTTAGTCATAACCAAGAGCAGGTAAAAAACAGTGGATATCTAATGCCTCCTTTCTAAAAGTCTGTGTTTCTGTATGTCCCAGAGACTACTTAATGCATCAACTTCTGCTTCTCTGTTTCAGCTCTGCACAAAAGCTGGTGGTTCCTGTGTTACTACCCTGGATGGTTACTACGTGGAATCAGTCATCTGTGTCATTCTGGGATTTGGGTGGTGGTTCCTACTTGGGCCAAAATTTAAAAAGCTACAGGATGAAGGACAGTCTTCGTGGAAGTGCAAGAGGAGCCATTGATGCAGTTTAAATACTGGATGGACTAGTAAGGTCATTTTAGTTTTATTACAAAGACATATCCCATAATCAATAAACAGGAATATAGGTATTTTTAAATGCCACATCGCTGAAAAAATGGGTGGCTGAGACGGTGGTATGTTTGTATGCGATACCACTTGCCCTCCCAATATGAAAATGTTAAGTTCAGAAAGTAATTGTTAAAAAATGGCACCTATGTACTGCATACATATCTCCGAGCTCTTAGCTTCAGAGTCATGGCTGCTGGTATAACCAATATCCGAATTTCCATATGGTAACTATGGAAAAGCTAATTGTGCCATGTCTATCTAAACAGCAGCATTGTCAGCTAAGTTCCAACTCTTAATTTTCAAACAGAAATGATCTAACACGGGGAGTTGACCCGAGGAAGGATGTCAAAGGCATTTTGACTTGTAGGTTACGCGTGTTGTATTTTTTTGTGGGAAGATAAATGTAAAGTGTCTGTGGGCTTTGTTTCTTCTCACTTTCTGAACTGTAACCACACCTCAAAGGATGAGATGTTTCAGAGATTCTTTTAAATGTATTTTCTGGCTTTTATAAGCTTTAAAGATTTATAAGAAAATATTTTTATAAACAAATTACATTTGTTTAATTTATTTCCACTGTTTCAAAGCATTTCGATTTACATTCAACGTACTTTCTTGATGAAAAATTGCTGTAAGATAGGACTTAATAGTAACGCACAATACTCTAAGCCTTGAGCCCTGAAGATGTAAACTGGACAGTGCAGCAGCTAGCACATAAAGACAGGTTTCAAAAGGAGAGGGCATGCAGGCCTTCGGAAGGCAGTTGTTATTTTGAGGGAATGAATTGATAGTGTCGGTTCCTCTATGTCACTAAAATTTGAACATTCAATTTCAAAATCCATGGAAAAAATGTGACTGTTGCCAGCTAGGTGTAAGAAAAGATGATCAGTGCCTTTGAAAGTGATTTGGTGATGACAAACTTGCCAAATTCCCAGTCAGTTGGTGTACGACTTACGTAAATCAAAGAAGCTAAATCCTGTGGTCGAGCTGCTACAGAAATTTATTACTGATGCTGTGTGGTGGAAACATTCCCGTTGCATTTATCAAAAATGACTTCCCTCCTGAGTGCCTTAGTGATGTACAGCAAGTGTACTGTACGCCTAGAGAGAGGGCACTTGGACATTGTTGGATGTATATGGTACATCGTTATTAAAAAAGAAAACTATTAAAAATACCTTTGAAAGGTACGTGATTTTCTTTTCCGTTCCGTTTCTTGCCTTGTCAATATTGGAAGTATTGCATCCTGAGCTTTGTGTTCCAAACTCCCGGAAGGGGCTGTGGATCTTTTGTTACTGTATGATTCAGGAAAAAAGTGAATCGATAGCAAACTTTTTACTGACTGGCGGGGACATGGGTGTGTACAGTGTCTAAATGACATAAGGAGTAAGAAGGTGTCCAGAAGAGGACAGTGTGACCAGGTGCTTCCCTGGGCACTGAAGCCCGTTCCGCTGTCTCTTCCCCTCTCCCCTCTCAGTGACAGCCTTGACAGTCGGTGGTGGAAAGCCAAACCCCAAGCTGTGGATCTCCCCCGGCTGTGATCTGTGGCCCAGCAACAGCACATTCCCACAATTTGTTTCAAGTACAGCAAAATCAGTCAGGCTAAATAAAATCACATTGTTTTTACTCCCCAAAGTAAAAGTCTTCCGATTTCACCGCTGCATAAGCACAAAGAATGCAAGAATATATCAGAGATTTGTAATCAAAGGTGGATGCATCTTGCAGTCCTGGCCAGACCATTGGAGTGACTGGGTATGAGGCACTTCAGTTCTGTGTCTTTACTGGAGCACTGGGCCACTTTAATTGCATCTTGTCCATACCTAGAGATTTTTTTTCTTTTTTTACTTTTTGGACTTTGAGGAAAAACTTCTCAAGTGCAGAATATGAGAAATTAAATTCATCTTTGCAATTTTGTTTCACTATTTCTGAAGGTGCCAGTGAAACTTGTTATTAATAAAGTTCGGTTGAGGATTGCTTATTAGATGGTCTTCACAACATCAAAATTAAACATAAATTCCAAATCAGTAGTAATATATATGGAATGTGACCTAAATTAAATAACTGTCTCCTCTTACAAACTGGAGAAACAACAGATGGATTAGGTTTTTTTTAATCTATGTTGCTATTTTGTAACACAAGTCAGAAATGTTACTGCTGTACCAGTGTTTAGCAGGTTGCTGAAAAGAACCAGTAAACTTTTGGGTTTGCTGCTTCTTTTCTCCCAACCCTATTTTAAAGTGAAATAATTTATTTTTTTGAAAGGTTAGAATTATTGTAGACTTAAACATCTTTAACATGAAAAAAAAAAACCCAACTTTTTAAAAAGACAAGAAGAAAGAAGCAACCCAACCTCTTCCTTGAGAGCCTGTTATTAAAATGGGAACTGGAGCAGGCGAATGGTAGCAGGTACTGCGATAGATCCCTTAATTACTGCAAGGGCTTCGTGGTCCTACGTGGCCTGAGCAGGCCTGGGGGGAGCCAGATGTGTGTTACCTCTAGCAAAAGGGAAATGGCAGAAATTGGTTTTTTGTAGGTAAAGGGTTTGTCCTGGTTTAAATTCCTGAGCAGAATCATTGTGAAGTGAGACAGGTCCCAGGGGAGAGGGGGGAGCGAAGGGTCGGTGCAGCAGGACACGGGGAGGAGAGGTAGGGAACAGCTCTCCCCTTCAGTGCCTGTGTCGTTACGGGGACCTACCGTGCAAGAAAGTCGTCATCGCCTGCGCTCGCGAGTGTAATTTGTTGTCATTTCCCAAAATCCTTGAGAGGCAAATACTGGTGCTCCAAAATTCAATTTTGTAATTCCAGTTAAGGCAGAGTTTAAGGTCTGACAAGCTGCGTAAGATGGGATTGCGCACCTGCGGCTGCTGCGCCCTGCCTCCTGCGGCCCCGCGAGGAAACGGCTGAGGAGCGAACCTGCCGGTGCTGCGTCCTGTGAACTTTGGCGTTGTCAGTGTGCTATCCCTCACAACAACCGACGGTTCTTATTTTAAGAATTATTAACCACCTCCACGTTTCATCTCTGTTACGGACCCCGGTTGCTGATTGTCAACAGTTCTTCGTTTTCTGTAAAGTTGTTTTGTTTCATTGTCTTCTGGGTGTTCTCAGTGTAGTTTCACATGACAAATGCTGTTCTAAACTGGCTGATAGGAGAGGGTGTTCAGATTATTTTTGATCTGATAAAAAGGGGAAGAGAGTTCTGTCGCTGCGTAAGCACTGTCGGGTCCGCTGTGGGAAAGCAGAGCATCTCCCTGCAGCGGGGAATGGAGCAACTGAGTTTTTGCAGGCAACAATATTCTCTGACTCTCTTGACCCCCGCCCATGAGACAATGTTATTTATTTAGCGTTTTACCCAAAATACCAATTGTAGCAGTCAGCAGTACGCTTCCAAATTGTCGTTTAGATAAAAGTCACGTTTTTCCTGAAAACAAGAGTTTGCACTATTTCTGTATTTATTACTTAATCTTAAAATGTTCACAGTTGGTAAATAAAGCAAAACTAACAACTATACCCCTTTCTCTGAAAAAAATTACAGGGGTAATATTTACTTGTCCAACTTACCCATAGCCATTCATTTAAGAATTGTTTTAGTTTGAACCTTAGATAAAATGTTTTGATTCAAGTATGGGTTTTGCTGCCTCGGATTATAAATTCCCAACTAGATCTGTGCTTTTCCTGAAATCCTGAGTTGTGACCATTAACGGTATCATCTCATGTATCGCCTGTTCATGTAGAAACCTAGAACTGGGTTGAAATGGAAGACTTGTGTAAACATAAATCCAGTTTTATATCATTGTCAGGTTATTTTCTTACAATGCATGTATTTCTTTAAAGACCATATAGGTGCATTGCACAGATGGGCATTTGATTCAGCTGAGGGAAACGGTTGGCTTGAGCCATTTGGTAATGAATTACAAATATTTGTTAGTTCTGAACTGAGGGAAAAGAATAAACAACAATGATGAATCCAGGAATGTTCCAAAGTTGGTTTTTCTCTTAAGACAGCGCCTCAAGGTGCAACAAGGGAGCTGCATCGTAGCACGTTTCACAGGATCGGAGGGGGTGTGTTACAGGTTTGAGGAGTTAAGGTTATCGCCAGTGCTGTTTAAATGCAAACCAGACCGAGGTCGGCGCTACTCTGCGTCTGCGTCCTCGCCAGCGTCGTGCTGCGAAGCTGCCCGGGCGTAGGAGCCCCACCGCGCCGGGGGCCGAACGCGAGCTG